GGAAGAGTTTGTGTGCGCGTAAAAGTATCTTCTCCATTAATGCTGATCAGTTCTGCATCTGCTGGCGGAAATGGCGAGGGGAACACGACTACATCACTCTTTATTGTGTCGGAACTAAAACACACGTCGTACTGTTGTGTGGATTTAGAGAAGGACCAGCTTCCGTCTGGATGTGTGCTGATCACTGGAGCGCTGTACCTGCTGAAACTGCCGTCTGTCCTGTAGCATTTAACTGCTATCAAACCCACCAGACTCAGTAAAAAGATGACTGATACTGAGACAATAGCGATGAGCAGATACAGATTCAGATCCGAAAAACTCTCCTCTTTAGCAGTAACTTCTCTGAATGATGTCTTTATGTCATCCAGACTCTCAACAACCACAACATCCATGGACATAGTCGCTGAGAGTGATGGCTCTCCATTATCAGACACTGTGATAAGAAGTGGGTGAGTTTTTAAGTCATTGTCACTCATTCGTCTCTTAGTCCTTATTTCTCCAGTGTTGCTTCCAATGCGGAAGAGATTCGTTCCTTTGGGTTCAGTTAGATGATAAGACAGAAGTGCGTTATATCCAGAGTCAGCATCAACAGCTCTGATCTTGGCTACAAAGTATCCCGCTTCAGCAGAGTAGGGAATGTTCTCACTATTAACTGATCCAGGTTCAGAATAAGGCGGTAAAATAACCGGACTGTTGTCATTCTCATCCAGAATAAACACATTTACAGTGGCATTACTGCTCAGAGGAGGAACACCGGAGTCTGTTGCCATAACTTGAAACTGCAGTCTTTTCGTTTCTTCGTGATTGAATGATTGCAAACTGAATATTTCTCCAGTCAAATAGTTTATATTTATTAGTGTTGTTATAGGAACACTGGAGCTGGAACTGTCTAACAGTGAATATGAAAGTTCTGCGTTCTCATGAGTGTCTGAATCATCAGCTGACACTCTTGTCACCAGACCTGCAGCTTGACCATTCTCACTTAGAAAAGCGTTAATAACGGGAGCTGGGAAATGTGGAGCATTGTCATTAACATCAGAGATATGTACAGTTATAAGAGTGCTGCTGGAAAGAGGCGGAGTTCCTTCATCTGCAGCTGTAATTGTGATGTTATACAGAGAAACACTCTCTCTGTCCAGAGGTCCATTTACAACTAGAGAATAATGATTGTTATATGACGTCTCCAGTTTGAAAGGATACGAGCCTTTCAGTGCACAGTGTACAATGCCATTTTTACCTCCATCTTTATCGGACACTGCGACTAAAGCAACTGCAGTTCCTGACTTTGTGTCTTCTTTCATAATTTCCAACAGAGGAGACATAACTATTTCTGGCGCGTTGTCATTCTCATCCACAACTTCTATTAAAACTTTGCAGTGTGTACTTTTAGGAGGAACGCCTTTATCTCTCGCCTGAACGCGCAGTTCAATTTCAGGGTGTTCCTCGTAATCAATTTGACCTTGAACAACAATTTCTCCTGAGTTAGAATTTATTGCAAACCGGTTCAGTTCATCGGTATTTCCATGTCCAAGAAATGAATATTGAATTACACTATTGATGCCCTCATCCAAATCACTGGCAGAAACAGTAGTTACTTTGGTTCCAATTGGTGTGTTTTCCTTCACTTTAACTTTGTATAAAGGTTTGGTGAAAATAGGTTTATTATCATTTACATCCATGACGTCAACAACAATATTCAATGTTCCAGATTTAGGAGGTTTTCCTCCGTCAATAGCGGTGAGTATTAAGTGAATAACAGCTTGTTTCTCTCTGTCTAAAGCTTTCTGTAGTACTAACTCAGCTAACATACTCTGTTGCCCGCTATGAATATCTAAAGAAAAATACTCATTTGAACTGAGTTTGTAGTCTTTCAGAGAATTACTGCCAACATCTGGATCTTTTGCAATGGGAAGAGGAAATCTTTCCCCCTCATTTGCAATCTCTGTAACATTGACAACATACTTGCTGTCTGGGAAAAAAGGAGCATTGTCGTTCACATCCACAATTATAATTTCAAGACGGTAAAGTCTGTGAGGATTCTGAGCAAGAGCCTCTAAATTCAACGCACATTTCTGATTACTGCCACACAACTCCTCACGATCAATCCGGTCTTTGACAAACAGCGTGCCCGTTTTTACATTTACATCAAAAAAATTTGCATTTGATCCAGGCATAATCTGAAACATGTGATTCTAGTGAAGAGATTTGTTCCTTTGGGTTCAGCTAGATGATAAGACAGAAGTGCGTTATATCCAGAGTCAGCATCAACAGCTCTGATCTGAGCCTCTAAATTCAACGCACATTTCTGATTACTGCCACACAACTCCTCACGATCAATCCGGTCTTTGACAAACAGCGAGCCCGTTTTGACGTTTACATCAAAATACTTTGCATTTGATCCAGGCATAATCTGAAACATATGTGATTCTAGTTCCTGAGCACTGATCTTCAGGTCTTTTGCTATATTCCCGATCACAGATCCTTTATTTACCTCCTCGGAGTTTTGTGTCTTCTTTCACAATTTCCAACAGAGGAGTCATAACTATTTCTGGCGCGTTGTCATTTTCATCCACAACTTCTATTAAAACTTTGCAGTGTGTACTTTTAGAAGGAACGCCTTTATCTCTCGCCTGAACGCGCAGTTCAATTGCAGGGTGTTCCTCGTAATCAATTTGACCTTGAACAACAATTTCTCCTGAGTTAGAATTTATGATAAACAAGTTCATTTCATCGGTATGTCCATAAAATAAATACTGTATTTCACTATTGATGCCCTCATCTAAATCACTGGCAGAAACCGGCATTATTTTGGTTCCAATTGATGCGTTTTCCTTCACTTTAACTTTGTATAAAAGTTTGGTGAAAATAGGTTTATTATCATTTACATCCATGACGTCAACAACAATATTCAATGTTCCAGATTTAGGAGGTTGGGATTCTGTAATATCCATGATTGTGCAGCAAAATGTCTTGCAATTTATTTAGTGTAAAAAAGACTAAAACAGGTCAACAGATTGTTATTGATACAATCCGACATCACGACGCAGGAAGGACTATAAGCCTTGGTTATTTACACCCTTCAACGCATTTCCTCTTGTTCTGATGCTGTAAAGGAGGAGCTCAGAGAACTCTCAAAGTCATGGTCTGCAATGCCACCACGTGTCGCAAAAGTGAAGAGGCAATGATGTTACTTCAGAATTTTTCTATGAAACACAGAGTGAAACAAATGTATCACCGTCTTCATAATGCCGAATCTAAGCCTTCATATCTAAGCAATCATTACGAAACAGAATAAAAATGCAAATAAGAACATTAAGAAAGAATATAGACGTCACTGTCGCTGCCCTTGGTACTGAAGTGATTTTGCTTTTTAAATATAAATTAGGATATAGTTAAGCCATAAAACAAAGTCAAAAAACAAACAGCATCATGGTTTCAAAAGGTAGTTGTTGCAACATACATAAAAAAATCTATAAGTAGGCTAAAAAAAATCGGTTTATTAATATACGTTGCCTTGCAGTGTACAAAAGCAGCGTCTCTGAGAAAGTAGAAACACAGTACAAACAAACCAAACTTGTGTTGATGAACTCCCAAAGCTGTAGAGTGATAGGAATACAAATACGCCAGAGTCACGAGATGCTTACAAAACTAAAATATATCATCTTAACAACAAGCAAAAAGTTAAAAATTCGTGGAAATATTACTTTTCCCACTTTGCCACATCATCCAGAATTTTACTTGTGTTTAACTTGAGTTTGGGTGCGCCTGAACTTTTAATTTTAAATACTTAAAATATTGGGTAATACATTTATTTTCTTCTCTTTATTTTATAAAAATATAAACAGAAAAAAAGAAAACAACATAAACGTCGCTAAAAATTTTACTTTTTGCAACTTAAGTGCAGTAGAAGTTAACTAAAATGCATTGTCTTACCTTCCCAGTGGTAGGAAGAGTTTGTTTGCGCATAAAAGTGTCTTCTCCGTTAATGCTGATCAACTCCGCGTCTACTGGAGGAAACGGCGAGGGAAAAACGACTACATCACTCTTTATTGTGTCTGAACTGAAACACACATCGTACTGTTGTGTGGATTTAGAGAAGGACCAGTTGCCGTCTGGATGTGTGCTTGGCTTGTTTCTCTCTGTCTAAAGCTTTCTGTAGCACTAATTCAGCAGATAAACTCTTTTGCCCGCTATGAACATCTAACGAAAAATACTCATTCGAAATGAGTTTGTAGTCCTTTAGAGAATTACTGCCGACATCTGAGTCTTTAGCATCTGGCAAAGGTAATCTGTCCCCAATATATGCATCCTCTGTTACATTCACAATATGATTGCTGTCTGGAAAAAAAGGAGCATTGTCGTTCACATCCACAATTATAATTTCAAGACGGTAAAGTCTGTGAGGATTCTGAGCAAAAGCCTCTAAATTCAACGCATATTTCTGATTACTGCCACACAACTCCTCACGATCAATCCGGTCTTTGACAAACAGCGTGCCCGTTTTTACATTTACATCAAAAAAATTTGCATTTGATCCAGGCATAATCTGAAACATGTGATTCTAGTTCCTGAGCACTGATCTACAGGTCTTTTGCTATATTCCCGATCACAGTTCCTTTATTTACCTCCTCGGAGACGGAATAGACAATCTGGCCAAGCGAAGATTCCCATAAAGACAGAAATAAAACGATCCAGAAGCCATAAAATTCTGTAACATACATGATCTTGGAATATATTGTTCTGTGATTTATTTGGTGTGAAAACAATTAAAACAACTCAAAAGACCTCTCTCAATACAATCCGACATCACGACGCAGAGGCAACTATAAGCCTTAGTTATTTACACCCTTCAACGCATTTCCTCTTTTTCTGACGCTGTAAAGGAGGAGCTCAGAGAACTCTCAAAGTCATGGTCTGCAGTGCCACCACGTGTCGCAAAAGTGAAGAGACAATAAGATGTTAATTCATACTTTTTCTATAAAACAAAGAGTGAACACAATTCATCACCCTTATCATAACGTCAAATCCAAGACTTTATATCTACGCAATAAAAACAAAGCAAAACAAAAAAAGCAAACACGAATAGTGAGAAGGACTATACGGCACCACTGCCGCTGTCCGGGGTACTGAAGTGATTTTGCTTACAATTATTACAATACAAAATAGGATACAGTTAAGCCATAAAACAAACATCAGTATTGTATCACAATGTAATTGTTCCAACATATAAAAACCTGTAAGTAGGCTAAATTCCAAAGCTGTACAGTAATACGAATACAAATATGCCAGAGTTGCGACATGCTGAAATAACTGGCAAAATTAAAATGTATAATCTGAACAAGTGAAAAATGTAAGTATTATTTCCACATTGTCAACAGCATCCAGTATTTTACTTGTTAACTTGAGTTTGGTGTGTGTGAACTTTTATTTTTAAATGCTTAATATATTATGAGGTAAAAAAAAAAAAATCTTCTGTTTATTCTATAAACATCTAAAAGATTTTAAAAAACTATTAAAAGGGATTAGAATATTAGAAAGCTCAGCATAAACGTTGCTAATAAGTTTACTTTTGTAAGTCAAGTGTAGTAGAAGTGAACTAAAATTCAACGTCTTACCTTCCCAGTGGTCGGAAGAGTTTTTGTGCGCGTAAAAGTGTCTTCTCCGTTAATGCTGATCAGTTCTGCGTCTGCAGGTGGGAATGACGAGGGGAAAACGACTACGTCACTCTTTATTGTGTCTGAACTGAAACACACGTCGTACTGTTGTGTGGATTTAGAGAAGGACCAGCTTCCGTCTGGATGTGTGCTGATCACTGGAGCGCTGTACCTGCTGAAACTGCCGTCTGTCCTGTAGCATTTAACTGCTATCAAACCCACGAGACTCAGTAAAAAGATGACTGATACTGAGACAATAGCGATGAGCAGATACAGATTCAAAAGAAGAAGAAGAAGATAACTTTTTATGATAACTTTTATGAACTAATTTTAACAGCAAAGCTCTGTCCCACTATTTGTATGAAATGTGGGTTGCAAACTAAATAGGAAATGAAAAGAATATAAAACACCTCATATACAATTTAGTTTGGCCTCGAGGTTAACAATCATCGTTTTCAGAAGGGGAATATTTAATATTTTCATGTAAGTTCAAGGCTTTTTTATGTACACTACTAGTGGAAAGTGTACATAAAAACAAAAAAACAACCCTCCATCATTGGTGGCAACTTGTTAGCACATCATGAAATTCCATTTCAGCAGTCTGACCCAAAATGATCAGAATACCAGAAACTATTAAACAAGTAGTTTAAATATCTTCAAACATAATAAAAACACCACAATTATTATTATTATTATTTATTTATTTTTTACCACAAATAAATAATGGGATATTACTATATCCCCCATAGAAGGAAGAGTATAGTTGCGCGTTAAAATAGCTTTGTTTATACATAATGAAAATTAAATGTAATGACTGCTAAACAATTTCTTAAAGCTTGAAAAATTGTTTCAAATGAATAATAATACATGAGGAGAAATCACCAGTGTCTTACCTTCTCTTTGAGGTTGGAAGAGTTTGTGTGCGCGTAAAAGTATCCCCACTATTAATGCTGATCAACTCCGCGTCTGCTGGAGGAAACGGCGAGGGGCAAACGACTACATCACTCTTTATTGTGTCTGAACTGAAACACACATCGTACTGTTGTGTGGATTTAGAGAAGGACCAGCTTCCGTCTGGATGTGTGCTGATCACTGGAGCGCTGTACCTGCTGAAACTGCCGTCTGTCCTGTAGCATTTAACTGCTATCAAACCCACGAGACTCAGTAAAAAGATGACTGATACTGAGACAATAGCGATGAGCAGATACAGATTCAGATCTGAAAAATTCTCCTCTTTAACAGGAACTTCTCTGAATGATGTCTTTATGTCATCCAGACTCTCAACAACCACAACATCCATGGACATAGTCGCTGAGAGTGATGGCTCTCCATTATCAGACACTGTGATAAGAAGTGGGTGAGTTCATTAGAGTAGGGAATGTTCTCACTATTAACCAGGGCCGGACTGGGACGCAATTTCAGGCCGGGAAATCTCACACTCATCCAGGCCACACAGAAAAAAAGGGGCCAAAATTGTACCTTTTGGGGTACAACAGCTTGACACCGTAGCAGTACACCGGGCTTGGAGTCAGTATAATTCTTTCTTTTTTTCTGGGGGGAAAAATAGAAAAAGATTTATATTTCAGATAAATGCTGTTCTTCTGAACTTTCTATTCATCAAAGAGCTTGGTGTGCAGAAGAGACTTCTTTAAAAACATTTAAATTCTTACTGATCAAAACCTTTTGACTGGTAGTGTATTAACACACAATTTCTAAAGTGCCTAAATGTCAAATTAGTACAATATATTTGTTGAAAAAGTCTAATACACTATTGAATTATTAGGCTGTGAGCCTGTTACTCATAGGCTATTACTTGTGTGTTGTTGTCTGCTCTAGCTCCCTCCCTCCCTGTACAGTAAATCCATGTGAATATCTATCTCTGCTAAATTTTTTAATGTAACTTTACAATCGATATTGATGTCCTTTAGCATAGTATTCTGAATGATGATAATGGGGTGCTACTAATAGCCTAACAGATACTAGCAGTTTAATACTCAACTAGGTTAATAAAGACAAAACTATCTAGCGTATTTACAGATGAAACTGACCTGCACTTGAAGCCCTGAACAGGTCAGTGATGTTGTTACATTTCACTGCTTCTTCTGGCCGCTTCCTCTCTTTCATCGAGTCCTGCGCATCGGTTCTGTTCGGAACCGTTTGACGGCAGCGTGGAACACACGTGAGCTGATTCGTTTAGCGCAGCGCTGACAGTCAAGACTAACCGATTTATGATTTATTATCGATTAATTATCGAATGGTACATTGAGAAGGCATACATATAAAATATTAATAATAATAACTAAAAAAAATCTCCCAAATTCTCCCGGTGCTCCCGATGGCCAGCCCGGGCCTGCTATTAACTGATCCAGGTTCAGAATAAGGCGGTAAAATAACCGGACTTTTGTCATTCTCATCCAGAATAAACACATTTATAGTCGAATTACTGCTTAGAGGAGGAACACCAGAGTCTGTTGCCATAACTTGAAACTGTAAGGTTTTTACCTGCTCATAGTTGAAAGTCTGCATGCTATATATCTCACCAGTCACAGAGTTTATGCTGATTGTTTTCGATAAAGGGATACTGGAACTGTCGAGTAATGAATAAGTACCTGGGCTGCGTTTCCCAAAAGCTTCGTAAGCCTACGTTCGTAAAAACGATCGTACGACTGATCTTAATATTACGGTCTGTTTCCCAAAAGCATCGTAACTTAAGTAGCACTTGAAAATCATCGTGCTCTGGAGTAATCGTAAAGCCCTAAGTGCATCGTAAGAAGACAGATTTATGCGGTCACCTGCAGGACAATCGGCAGATTACACCTTTAACTTTATTCAAGTGCAATGTGATTATAATATAAGGATACGATTGTACTTTATTGTACACTTTATTGCTCGTTTTTGTTGTTGTTGTTGTTGTCAATTTATAAATGAAATAATTAAAAAAGGCAGAAAAAATAGAAATACACATATATACACAAATGAATGAAAATATGAATGAAAAAAATGAATACAAGAAATATGCTTCAAAGACTGGGGGGGTCTGTCAATGACTTGCTGACTTGCACGAAAACCAGCAATGTATTGTATGCTCATCGCTGGTCTGGTTACTGGTATAGGGCTATAGCCAAGCCGTTAAAATTAGACCACAGATTGCCTCGATTTCGCCAGGTGGGCTAAAAGCAGACTACACATAGCCCGTCTAAATTTAGAGCTAAATTGTGGCTACATATAGACCATGTCACGAAATTACACTTATATCTTTGTAGATATTATTGACACTGTGAGCATGATGGGATATCAACCATCTCATGCGCTGTCTGGCCAAAAACTACAGTGAATCAGGTTTGACTATAAGTGGGCTACAGATAGCCGCTCTGACTATGAGCTAGATCGTGGCTATGCACAGGCTAAGTATTGAACATGTCAAAGAAATGAAACCAAACGCCTTGTAAACGCTGTTGACTTTGCTTGCATGATGAAATATCATACATCTCACAATATTCTATAAGGTGACATTTTGCACTTGACAAACGGATAGCGACTCCTAAGTAGCACTTAAAGGAACACTCCACTATTTTTGAAAATAGGCTCATTTTCCAAATCCCCTAGAGTTAAACAGTTGAGTTTTATCGTTTTCGAATCCATTCAGCCGATCTCCAGGTCTGGCGGTAGCATTTTTAGGCACTTTTTAGCACTACTATCCGCCCGGAACTGCTTAGTGTACAACAGTGAGCGCAAGCTACATTAAAGTGATTATTACGTTTTGAATATGGATATTTTTCTTACAAAAATGCATCAATTTGCTACAGAAGGCCTTTGTTCACCCCGCGGAGCCATGTGAGACACTTTTTTTTTTTTATGGATGAGTCCATTTTAATTAAGTGCTTTTGGACTGATGCATGCAACACCCGCTGAGTGCCATGAAATAGCTCGAAAGATCAAAGACAATTTTTAATATAACTCAGACTGGATTCGTCTGAAAGAAGAAAGTCATATACACCTAGGATGACTTGAGGCTGAGTAATTTATGGGCTAATTTTTCATTTTTGGGTGAACTAACCCTTTAAATACAAGGGATAATTACTAAACA